TCTGGGGACAGGCAGCAGGCCCTCGTGGGGACACCAGTTCCTCAGGATGTGGGGAAGGCGTGGCAAGGAGCCCACTGGTGTCGGTGGCCTTTCCCTGTGTTTCTTTAGGAGGCCTCCATCCTGCAGAGTCCCTGCTAACTGCACTTGGTGGACACGGGCTGACCCCTGAGCCTCCCACTGCTGCCTCCAGTGTCTGCTTTTAGAAAAGCAGCAGGCTCACCAGCCAGGTACCACCTGGGGCTGCCCCAAGCAGACTGGGCAGGAGCAGCACTGGGCACTCAGCAGGTCACCCCTGGGCATGGATATGGTTCCCTGTTGGCAGGCTTGTATTCCATATTGACATTGTCTTAAAATACTTGTTTTTCCTGGCACTGGGGATGGAACCCAGGGGTGTTCTACTATTGAGTCACACTCCCGACCCTTTTTATCTTTTATTTTGAGACAGAGCCTCACTAAGTTGCCCAGACTGTTCTTTAACTTGCAATCCTCCTGCTTCAGCCTCCCTAGTTGTTGGAATCATAGGTGTGCACCACTGGACCCAGCCTAAAATACACTTTGCTTCATTTCTGTGACTTCACCGTCACTATCACAAGACTTGAAAGTACCAGGTGCAGGTTCATGTCGCATGTCCTTGTAGGCTTGTTATGAGGCTGTTTGGCCTGGTATCCCAAGGCAGCTGTCCTCTCTCTTTAGACCAACCTTGGGTCAACAGCAAGTGGCAGTGGTGCTGTCTGGCTCAGTTTCTCTATGCAGGTGATTGTTCTTTTAATGCTGTGTGCAACAAATAGCCTTTCTTAGAACATACCTCAGGACGCCAGGAAATAAACACACGAAGGATCACACGTGTGAACCCCAGTGGGCCGGAGTTGAGCGCAGCCGCAGGGAGGAGCCCCTTGTGATTGGTGCCCTGCAGAGCTGTAAGCTGGKGCCTTGGGCATCTACCAGGAAGAGTGGCCCCCTAAGGTGGAAGCCACAGTCCCACAGAGCCTCCTGTTCTGCAGTGTGGGGTCCTCCCAGCAGCAGCAGCCTGTGCTGCCCCACGTCAGAGAAATGCCAAGGAGCATAAACTTGTAGAACCAGGACCTCTGAGAGCACCAAGTATGAGAAATTGAGACCTTGAAACCCTGGCCCCCAAATAAGTGTCAAGGGTGGGTACACACACACACACACACACACACACACGTTCACAATTAGTTTATAAAAAGCAGAATCCAAATAGGGTTTCTGTTAGCAGTAGGTTGGTGTGTCTCTTAGATCTGCCCCCACCTTTTTTTTTCTTCTGACACTGGAGATTGAACCCAGGGGTGCTTTACCACCAAGCTACATCCCAGCCCTCTGTCGTTTTGAGACAGCTGGCGACTTGCTAAGTTGCCACAGCTGGTCTAGAAGTTGTGATCCTCCTGCCTCAACCTCTGGAGCCCTGAGGTGACAGGCATGGACCCTGCCTTTCGCCCTCACTTCTAAAGGTCATCACACATCCAGTCACGGTGGTACAAAAGTGCCATCCCAGTGAGTCAGGAGGCTGAGGCAGGAGCATCACAAGTTCAAGTCTAGCCGCAGGGAATTAGTGAGACCCTGTTTCAAAAAATAGAAAGGGCTGGGGGACATGGCTCAGCAGTAGAGCACGCCTGGGTTCCATCTCCAGTGCCAAAAAGGAAAGAGGAAGTGATCATATAATAACGTTGCATTCCACACCTCCTTTTACACAGCTCTCGAGTTCTCACCAATTCGGTGTCCACCACTCTCTTCAGGTCTGCACCTCGGGACAGTCCCACATACTGTCCATACCCCTCCTGGCCTCTGCACTCTCTGCTCTTGGCATTGCCCTTCCAGAATGAAGAGCTGCACAGCCTGCTGCCACTGGCCTGTGCCCAGCACAGTACCTCTGGAGGGTCGTGCGTGTCCACCACCCAGCCTCAGGTGGCCCGGTTGCCTCCTGGCCAGAGGCTGCAGGTCTTCCTCTGCCTGTTTCCAGCCCTTGGCCACTGAGCAGGCTGCTGGGGATGCGTGCAGGCCTCTGAGTGGACTGGGCTTTTACCCTGGGAGGCGTTCCAAGGGGTAGCAGTGAGCCTGGTGCTACAAGAACCCGGCCGGGGTGTGTCGGGGGGGCTCTGCACTTGGCGTCCCTGCAGCCACAGGAGCTCCAGGTGCTGCTGTCCCTCCTCTCCATCCCCTGGGGTAAGGTCTCTTTTCCATTTTCTTTGTGAATTTGTAGTGCCATCTGAACAGCTGGGTGGCGGCCGCTCAGTCTCCCCAGTGGCTCTGGCGGGAAGCACCTTTCACGCCCCTCGCCATCAGTGTCTTAATTCACTCACTCGTTCATTAGGTTTGTTTTCATATTGATGAGTTTTGAGAGGGCCTTTTCAGTGGGGTAGAATCCTTTGTTAAATGTTTGGTCAGCAAAGACTCTGCTGTCCAAAGCTTGTCTCCKAGCAGAGATTTTTGCAGATTGGCCTTAGGTTTTGACAGGTTTGGTGAGTCAGCTTCCTGTCCTGCCTGACTGCTATGGCCCCTCTGCCGGGCACAGACTGGCACTGCTGCTGCTCCATGCAGGGTGGAGCTGCCCTCTCAGAGCTGAATGACTTCCTTCTTTCTCTTCTTTCTTTTTTTTTAATTTTAATTTTTATTATTTTTTAGTTATCGATGGACAGAACGCCTTTACTTTGTTTGCTTTTATGTGGTGCTGAGGATCAAACCCAGTGCCTTACATGTGCTAGGCAAGTGCTCTGCCACTGAGCCCTAGCCCAGCCCCAGCCTAGCCCCAGTCCCTGCCACTTCTTCCTGAGTGTCCAGGGCTGTTCTAGCTCCTTTGCTGTTGCATGTAAAATCAGTTTATGGACACAGACTGAACTCCTGGATGTCTCTGGCATGGTGCCGGATGCACAGGTCGGGATAGGGAGGGCCAGCAGCACCCCTCGTGCCTGTACAGCTCTGTCCTTCCTTCCAGCACTCGGGGACTTCTAGCGTGAAGGTCTGCACTGTTTTAAACCAAGCATTTCCTCTTTGAGGGGATTTTATTGTTKAAATAATTAATTGAACTTCTTATTTTAAAAAATATATGTACATTTTCATTGTCAATGAGCCTTTATTTAATTCTGTGTGGTACTGAGAATTGGGCCCAGTGCCTCACACCTAGATCAGCGCTCTATGCTCTACCTCCGAGCCACAGCCCAGCCCTGAGGAGATCTGTAAATGGGTGTCTTTAAGCTTTGCCCACCCTCCTGCCCCCCACCCCGTGTGTGTGCATTAGCTTGTTGCAAGTGGCCCTGGGACGTGTGGCCCGAGAACACTGGTGGATTCCAGAGCTAAGTCTGCATTTCTTGGTGTCATGTGCATGCACGAGCAAGGTCTGAGACCAGGGGCTGCTCATCTCCCTCCTGCCTGTGCCGTGTCCCCGCCTTGCCTCTTGCACTAGCAGGGCACATCTGTGTGAGCCATGGTGTGAGAGCCCAGGTGCAGGCCTGGGTCCCCTCTTGGGGTGGTGCCCAGTCCCTCACCTGCAGCGTTAGCCGTGGGCATCCTGTAGCTGCTCCAGGTCTCAGCCTGTGCAGAGAGCTCCTGCTGGGTGTGGCACAGCTGCCCTCCAGCTCCACTCACACACTTCGGGCGTCGGGGCTACCCTGCAGCCCAGCCCAGCCAAGGTCCAGCCCCAGATGAGTGCAGGGAGGACCACAGCTCTCTGCCAGCCTCCTACTCAGGTCCAGCAAGGCTGCCTCAGGAGGGGCGTCTCATCCAAGGTGAGCAGGCCCAGCTGCTCAGTCATGGACAGGCAGCAAAAAAATGCAGGAGGTGGGAGGGGCTGGGTCCTGCAGGGCACGTCCCCACTAGGCCTCACCTCGCCCAGGCCCCACCGCCTGGTCTGGGCCCTGTCCTCTAAGGTCAGCTTGGGCTTGCCTGAGGCTTCTTTTTCAGGATATTTGAGCTGATAATTCAACTTATTGGTCAGAGACAGGATGAGCCCCATTACTGTTGCGTCTTGGTGGATTTGGGTAGTTGGTGGCATCAAAGAAGTGTTTGCCCTGCTCATGTTTTGATGTCTGCAGGTCCTTCCTGAAGTGAGGACTCCTGTCCTCTTTCCCTTTGTCCAGCTGGAGGTGTTCTGAAGTCTGCCCACACCCAGGCCACGGGTGCTCGCTGCTCTCTGCTTCTCTGGCTGGTTTCACTTAGCTGCTTCTGCTCCCTTGTCCCCTTCCCTGGGCTCCTCCTCTTCCCAGCTCTGGCAGCCCCTCCTGCGTTTTCATCTCAGTCGAGGCCCCTCTGAGGCGGGGCTGCGGGAGTGTGGTCGGCCTCCTGTGCAGCCTTACCCCTTAGTCACTTCTCAGCTGTGGCTTTGCCCCGGGGTCTCAGTGTGCTGACTGCACCACAGTCCAAAATGTCAAGTGGACAGTTCCAGGAAGAGCAATCTGCACATTTTAGATCAGACTCCCTTCCGAGCAGGGTGGCAAGGGTTAGGTTAAGTGCTGGAGGCCCTTCCTGCAGGGTCCACTGTGCAGCGTCAGCCTCTGCTGCTCCCTGCTGGCCAGTGCTCCCCAGGCAGGCTCAGTCCACCAGGTATCTTGTTGGAAGACACTGCCTGCAGTGACTGGGGTCCCCTGTGGGAACCCACAATTGCACAAGAGGTGGGGTTGGCAGTGGGAAGGTTAGGGAGCACTGAGTGGGCTGGGGAAGCCAGGGTGGGGAGTGCCATGTGGGCTAGGGTCTCTCCTCCCACATCTGGGAGCTGGGCTCGGGGTGATGCCATTACCCTGGTCTTTGGGGGACTCTCTGTTCAGCAGTCTTATGGGAGGGCTTTTGGGATCCTGGTGGCCTGTCTCTCCCACCGTCTGCTGAGCTGCCTCTGGTGAAGATGAGGCCCTGGCCATGGTACACAGGGTCATTTAGTGTGGCTGCAGTGGGCCAGGCCTGCAGAAACTTCTGGGAGGTGGGACAGCCAGGCTGGTGGAGGCAAGGTGTGAGTGGCCTTCGGGCAGCATCCAGGCTGAACTGTATGTGCCTTACAGGTTGTGCAGCCTGACTCTGAAGAAGCTGGCGGTCCTCAGGGAGCTGGAGAAGGAGCTCACATCAGTGGTGATTGCAGTCAAGATGCAGGTGAGCTCAGCCTGCCACCCCTAAGAGTCCCTCCTGCTTCCTCTTAGTGTGGGGCTGGCAGACACAGGTGCAAAGGCGCAGGAGGCTGCATCAGAGAAGCTGGACGGGGCTGGACCGTCCCTCTTTACACCCGTGGCCTCTCCCCCCATTCCCCATCATGTCCCTGGCCCTCTGTGTGTCGGTTTCCCCCTAGCCAAGGCCCTTCTCCATGGCCCCAGAGGCACCCAGGCCCTCGGACTGCATCTCCGCACTGCCCTCTCCTGCTGTCCCAGCTGGGTAGGTCTGGATCTCTGAGACGCAGAAGCTAGGATGACTGGTAGTAGGACAGGGAGCCGAGCAGGGAGCCGAGCAGGGAGCGAGGAAGGAGGGCTGTGGGGAAGGGCCTCCATTCCCCTGCCACCCTGGTCCAGACCTGACCGCTGATATCCCCCCACTCAGGCCACCCATGCCTGCTTCCTGCCACATGACCCTGCTCTGGGCTCCCTGGGTGGTGAGCTCCATGCCCCCTCCTTTCCTTCACATCCCCAGGCTCCCTACCCCCAGCCCCCTCTGCAGCTGCCTGCCCACCCCACCCCCAAACCTTGGCACATTCTGTGTCTGATGCTGCAGGAGTCTGGCACTCAGCACACCTGGCCACGTCTACCCTTCTCTCTCAGCATGAAGTCCTCAGGGTCTGTCCTTGCTGGACAGAGAGATGCTGTTTTTGTGTGTACTTGGGACTGAGCCCAAAGGCGCTTGAGCACTAGGCCACATTCCCAAACCTTTTATTTTGAGGCAGGGCCTTGCTAAGTTGCTTAGGCCTTCACTAAGATGCTGAGGCTGGCCTTGAACTTGCAATTCTCCTGCCTCAGCCTCCTGAGTCGATGGGATTGCAGGCGTGCACCACCATGCTCTGTGGAGCAGATCCTCTCAGACAGTACTGTGATGAACACTGATGGTGCACCTGAGTTTAATTTGGTGTAGGTGGGAGGTTGGGGTCCTGTCAGTTCATACAGTGACTTTCTACATGCTGACAGGAAGCTCCTGCTGACTGAGGCCACTTAACGCTCACTGTGCCTCGAGTGCCTGCGTACTTTGTGTCTGTCCCCAGATGGTGTCTACCCTCTCTCTCCTGGCAACAGTGTCTCTGTGCCATCAGCACTAGGCCTCTGAGGATGTCCTCTGGAGGGCCATCGGCCCTGTGTGATTTTTAAAATATGGGATGCCCAGCACACTGGCCTACCAATTAAGGCTGGCATCCTGCCGTGAGGTATCTTGGTGACTGTGTACTGTGGCAGGAACGTTCCTGACCCTCTCACTTCTGGGTGGGTCCTAGAGGTGGGGTTGGTGCAGCAAAGGGAAGAATGTGTTCAAGGCTCTGGTGTGTGTCCTATGCTGCCTCTGAGAACCCTCCTTGCTTAGGCCTCCTGTCCAGGATTTTCATCGTGACGGCTTAAAGAGTGACTAAGTGACCGTGTTGTTGGTTTCATTTAAAAATTCCCTTTAAATCAACAGATCTATCTTCTCACAGGGCTCCAAACGGGTCCTCCGATCTCATGAGATTGTGCTGCCCCCCAGTGGACAGGTGGAAACTGACCTGGCCTTGACCTTCTCTCTGCAGGTGAGTCTAATACGGGGTGATGGGACACTCTCTTAGTGCCCTGGATGTGGGGATGGGCCCTGCTCAGCACCTGGAGTGATGGACACTCCCTCACTAGGGCAAACTGTGTGCTTTCTTATTTTGATCTTCTCTTGGTTGTAGCTTATTAAATGATTAGAAAATTTTCTTGGTGTACCATGTTCTATTTTTATTCATTTCTCATGGTTAAAAAAATGTAATGAGGAGGCCACACATCAAATTCCCAGTTAAGCTCATTCTCATATATAGAGAAGATGGGCAGGAGTACAGGGGAACTCAGTCTACTAAGTTCACAGCCATGAGCATTGGGTGTGCCTAGTGGTGGACTGTCTCTCAGCTAAGATGTGGCTGAGCACCTCCCAAGGCCAGTGGAAAACAGAGAGCCCCCCTGGTTCTCTCCAGAGCCTTGCCCCATCTAGAAAGCCAGCCCAGCTCCAGTTAATTCAGCACCCACTAAACCAATTCATTCTAAGTTCCTATGACTCCTCTTCTCCTTTTAAATGTACGAGTCTGGTGAAATGCCCGTGTCCCTGCGAGCTCCCGCCAACTACCTCCCCATCACCACCCACCACCCACCAGCCCTACCCTGCCTGGCTACCTGGGGCCGGCCACTGGAGCTATCCCCACCAACATGCTCCTGGGGTTTGTAGTGTGTGTCTTTTGGGGGTATCCAGTTCTTTGAGGTGTAATTTACTAAACAGGACTCACCTGTGTTGAGAGCAGGACCCTTGGCTTCTGCAATGTGAACAGGCACACAGCCCTGCTCAGCCAAGAGCAGGGGCTCATCTGCTTTGGTCCCAAGGTGCTTTATCTGTGTCAAGTCTTGAGAAAGAACCTGTGAGCATCTGCTTGGGCAAGTCCCTCCAAGTAGTCCCCTCTGGCTGCCCAGCTGGAGGGTGCACACTACCGAGGGTGGGAGAATGCATGGGGGTCAAGGCCRTGGTCGTCTCCTTCATGCATCCATGAACACACATGGCCCCCCAACCCAGATATCTTGGCAAGCCCTTCCCATCCACCAGCTTCAGCCAGCAGGGTGGGGGCAGAGCCAGGCAGCTCTGCCCCAGAATCAAGCCCTACTGCTGTGCTTTTTCCTGGGTGGTGGGAGACAAAGGGTCTGGGGACCAGGGGCGACCCTGAAAGGTCTCAGGCAACATCAAAGGTCACCCCATGCAGACCTGACCTCATGGCCCATGGGGCAGGCTGCACTGGGCACCTCAGGGCGCTCACTTTTGCCCGCAGTACCCGCATTTCCTGAAGAGAGAAGGCAAMAAGCTTCAGATCATGCTGCAGCGCAGAAAGAGCTACAAAAATCGCACGATCCTGGGCTACAAAACGCTGGCTGCGGGCTCCATCAACATGGCCGAGGTGAGCGCCCTGGGCCCTGTGTGGCACTGTGCAGGCTGGTTCTATGATAGCAGAGCATTTGTATGTGGTAGATTGCTCCTACATATCCGGTGTTCACACCAAAGTGACCAGAGGAGTGGGCTCCCCCGTGATGCTGAGCTCAGCCCAAATGTGCTGCCTCTTCCTGGTCCCCTGGCCCCACATGGCTCAGCATAGCTTCTGCCACACATACAGCCCTATGTTCAAGTCCTGCTTCCATACCTACCCACCGTGGCAGAGGGCCCAGGTGGACCTGTCCTGGAGCCCCTTGCAGAAAGCTCCTCCTGGATATCCCATGTGGCCCTTGCCAGCCCCAAATGTGGGACTGGCTGAAGCAGTGGGAGCACCTCAGAAGGAAAACTGCCCAGCAGCCCCGTGTCATCCTGCGTGCCGTGGGGTGCTATGGGGCCAGGGGACTGTGCAAATGGAAGGGACTTGTGACATAGAGGCACCCTGGGCTGAGGGGCCCAGACCTCCTCATGGGTCCAGGAGCCACAGCAGTGGCTCTGAAGAGGGACAGCTGGGGTCTCGTGGAGCTGTATTGGGCCTACCTGGGGCAAGCATAGCAGCAGCAGGCCTGGCTGTAGCACCCCCACCCCTGCAGGGCTGCCAGACTCCGGTGCCGTCCAGCCCCACCAGTCACTGCAGGCCTGGGTCTCCCCGACCCCAGCTGCCCCGTCGTGCCGCACACCCAAGCCTCCCCATCCTGTCTCCTGGAACTTGCCTCTGCCCCCCAGACTCTGGGCTCTTCCTTGTGCTAGACTGACTGTTCTAAAGGCCACCCTGCCATGGCGGCTGCAGCTTTAAAGCCTGTCCATTCTTGGGAGAAAGGGCCAGTCCCTGGATGTGGCCTCTGCATCTCTGCTCCCCACAGCCCACTGCCCCACAGCTGTGTGCTCTGAAGCCAAGGTTGCCTCAGTGCCTGCCTCTCTGTGCTCCCTGGCCACCCTCCTCCAGGCCCTGCACTGTCCTCTCCCACCACAGCCTCTGGCCCCAGACCCAGCTCGGCCTTCCCACGGGGCCTGGTTTCCTTGCTGCTTGGCAGTGGCTATCCCTCACTGTGACCATTGCGGGCTGTATGTCATCCCATGAGCTCTGGTGGATTGGGGGATAAAGGTAGCTCTGACCTTGCCTGGGGGGCGTGGGATGTATCATGAGGCTCACCTGGGGGCTGTGCTGGCCTGTGGTCGCAGAAGCTGCCACATAGGAGTAGGCTGGGGCTGTCAGTGAGGCTGGTACTGTTGTATAAGGATGGCACTTGGCAGGAGGACAGTGTCCCTAAGGTTGGGACATGGGGTCAAGCCAGTGCATGGACATAGAGGTGACGGCTGGGTGGTCTCCCCGTGAAGCCCCAGGCGCCTCTAGCGGTAGTTAGCCCCACCTACTGTCCCTCTGGCCCTGACCCATCATGTGCTCTGCCCAAGGGACTTGGCGGGCAGAAAGGCCTGAGCTGGGTGTCTTGGGGACCTGCATGTGCATGTGGATGGCTGTCAGGGCCAGGGGCATAAACAGGAGAGCGCAACCCCAGGACCTGGCAGCAGGAGGAGCTAATGGCCCCTCAAGACCTGCTCAGGCAGGCATGGCCTCCACTCACACTGGTGAGCGTCATGGTGGTGGGAGGAGGCCCCAGCTCTGCCCCCTTGGGGTTCCCGTCCCAGGTGGACCCAGGCCTCAGCCTGAGCACCCTCACCCAGGTAGCTGGGGTGGCAGAATTGAGGTCTGCAGGACTGACCACTGAGGTTCAGAATTGTAGGTTGGCCCAGCATTTCCCTGGCCTCTGAGCAGCTTGCCATGGCTCTGAAACTCTTTGATGGTGAAAACGGGAGCCTGTASGGTGGCAGGAGAAGGCCACCCCAGCAGGCTCGAGCTGTCACTGGGCCCATGGGCCAGCCAAGCTAGGGGGCGCAGGGCCCTCAGTGCCATATGGCACTACAGCCGGGCCCGAGTGGGATGGCCCCCTGGCCATCAGCATCACCCAACAGAGCTCCCAGCGGCAGAGCTCCTGAGTGCTGCTGGGAAGAGACGCCAGTCCTGAGGAGCCCTGGCCAAAGCTCGGAGTGTGCTGGGAGAGCCAGGGGTTCTGGGCTGGGGTGTCAAGGAGAGGTCAGAGGGAGACTGGGAACCAAACCAGGGAGAGGTGGCCAAGGTTACCTTCCCAGCCCCAGCCAGCCCTGGGGACTCTCCCTCATTTGTGGTGGCTGGTGTGGAGCATGTTCCCAACCCTCTTCACAGGACCAGCCCCTACACTCCAGGCTTAGGGTGCTCTCAGGAGCGGCTGGACACAGGGATCAGTGCAAGCGTGCCTTTCACAGGAGGTCCCATCTCCCTCTTACCCTCCCACATGGAGGAGGCAAGAGTGGGTTTTCTTGGCAGAGGCCCTGACCCACCTGTCTCCTGCAGAAGTAGTGTGGGCAGGCAGGGCCAGTGTGCCTACATCCAGGCTGCTGCTCACCCCCAACAACTGGTGGCCCTTCCCTCAGCCAGGGTCACTGGGATGGATCCATGTGTCCACCTCTGGAGAATGTTTTGGCCTCTGAGCCAGTGGTTCACACCAAGTCTGAGGTCACTGCAGGAAAGTGACAGGTGTGTGGAGCTGGGCCTGCAGAGGCAGGTGAGGGAAGTAGCCTCTGAATGGCATGTACCTGTGCAGAGTATGTGGGCACCTGTGTCCCTGTTGGTACACAGGTGCACAGAGCCCAGGTGTGGGGGAGTCTTGGTGTAGGGCTGCCAGCTGACCTAATTTGGCATCTGACAGGATGTGAAAGCAGATGTGAGCTTTCTTAGAATTTTATTTTTTTACTGATTAGACTTAGCACCCCCAAATCAGGACCCAAAATTTTAAAAAAATCTGATCTATGGGGCTAGGGCTGGGGCTGTAGCTCAGTTAGCAGAGCGCTTGCCTAAATGTGCAAGGCCCTGGGTTCAAGCCTCAGTGCTGAATCTGACGTATAAAGTCCTGACGTGGGTCCCATCAGCTGGCCACCAGCAGGGCTTCAGAGAGCGCGGGCCTGTGAGTGAGGGCTCTGAGACATGGTGGTGCAAGGAAGGCAGGGACCAAGGGATGGGCGCACCCTGCCTCTCTGGTTTGTGACTCTCTTGTAGCAGTTGACCCTAGAGCTTGATGGTCTCACAAGCCAGACCTGGTAGGTCCTATGCTTGCTCGTGGCCATTCTTTCTTGGCCCCCATGAACATGCCCCTGGACAGGCATCTTAAGGGCTGGTGGCCATGTCACATTCCACGCTGGCCCTCACCCCTGCTGCCATAGGTTGCTTGGCTGTTGTGGGAGCYGGGGCCTCCTGGATGGCTTCCCAGGCACCACAGGTGTGCCAGAGACCAGCTGGCTGCAGTCGGTCCTATCTGTTTCCTTGTCTGTGGCATCTAAGCTGGGGCTCTGCTCCCCTGCTCGCTCCGTCCTCATCCTGGCTGTCCCCCTAGCCCTGTTCTCCTTTGCTTTCTGTTGTGGACTCTATCTCCTGCTCTCAGATATGGGGTTGCCAGGGTGGAGAGCCCTTTCCATTTGCGGTACATTCTAGCACCATCCCCCCTCCAGGTGATGCAGCACCCCTCTGAGGGCGGCCAGGTGCTGAGCCTCTGTAGCAACATCAAGGAGGCCTCCGTCAAGGTGGCTGAGATCTGGATCATCTCCCTGTCCAGCCAGCCCATCGACCACGAGGACAGCGCCATGCAGGCTGGGCCCAAGGCCAAGTCCGCAGGTGAGTGGGGCAGCACTGTGCCCCTCCCTGCTGGTCTGCCCTGGCAGTGGGTGGCAGAGCTGTGGACTATGGGGCACCCAGGTCCTGAAGGCTGAGTCACATGTGCTCAGGAGGTGTTGCAAGTCAATCAGTGCCACCTGATGCTCTGGGGCCTGCCTGGGTGGCTTCATAGAGACCAGGTACCCTGTGGGCCATCCTCTCTGTCCCCTTCAGTCTGTGGCTTGGGACAAATGCTGGGCAGCTTGCAGCTGCTGCCACCATCACACCTGGGCCCCCCGGGGCAGGGAAGGCTGCTGGAGGTTGACTGGGGCCTGGCTGAGACGCTAGAGGGCAGGATGCAGTGGGGTCCAAAGCAGGGTCGTGTGGTCCTGCTGACCCTGCCAGGCCCGTGGGCTGGGGGCCTGTGAGCCACCTTGGTGCCAGGGCAGTGGGTAGGACTCGACGTCTCCGACAGACCCTGTGCTTGCTCCACAGACAACGACTCTGAGGACGAGTACGAGAGCTTCTCCTCGGAGCAGGAGGCCAGCGACGACGCTGTGCAGGGGCAGGTAACTGAGGCTTGCCAGAGCGTGGCCACGGCCGCAGGGAGGCCCTGGGGGCTCAGGGCACCTGGATTCTCCCACCCCAGGCTCCCACATGCCCAGGGGCAGCTCCAAAGAGGCTGTGGCCAGGGTGGCCTCAGCAGTGCCTCCTTAGGGCTGCATGCTTGGCTGGCCCCGCCCGGCCCAGGTGGGTGGTTGTGACCTCAGGCGTGTGCTGTGCCCGCAGGACCTGGATGAGGATGACTTTGAGGTGGGGAAGCCCAAGAAGCARCGGCGCTCGATAGTAAGAACGACGTCCATGACCAGGGTCGGTGGAAGCTGTTCTACTAACACTGGGTGGTGGGGCTCGAGCGGGGCACCGTGGGCCTGGGGCCAGGCAGGGGCATCCCTGGGCAACCCCCGACTGCCAGTTCCCGCCAGGTACTGCCCTCTGAGGCCTGCCCCAGGTCCTTGCTCCAGCTTTGCATGGTCACGAGGTCCCCAGGGTCTGGAGTGAGGCTAGATAGACTGGCCTTTGCTGCTGCGGCCTCCGTGGGCCTGGAATGGCTGCCTCCTTGCCTCGGCACCACTCATACCTATGTGTGGCCAGTCCTGCTTTGCCCTGAGCCCCTCCTGCCTGCGGTCCCATGGGCACAGGAGCTCGGCAGGGTTCCTTCCTCTAGGAAGAAAACTTGGGTGGGCCTCAGCCCTTCCTGACCCTCAGTGTCCTTCACTGGGAACTAGAGACCCTCAAACCCCAGCACTGAGCTGTGCCCCTGCAGGAATGGCAGTGTGGGTTGCCAGGGAAGTCTATGCTAGTGCTGACAGGGGACGGGCACTGCCCACTTGTGGCAGCATGTGAGAGGGAGGCCTTRGGAGGCTGTGCCCCTGTTGTGCCAGCTACTCCCACACAGGGAAGCTGTGTTGTCCTGGACTATGGTTAGCACCAGTCAAGCCTCAGCTCCAGGGCCCTGGGCCAACCTCTGAAGGGAGGTGGGTGGGGCGAGCCCTCTCTCTGTAGGTTGGCTGGGGACACACCTCACTGGTGGCCAGTGGCTAGAGCTGAGACTGTACAGCCCAGGGCAGCCAGGGAGCAGTGGGGTTCAGACTGTCCACTGAGCAGGGACCGCCACCTTGTCTACCATCCCTGCTCAGGGCCCWCCCAGCAGCCTCCTTCCGGAGGGGGCTGGGAGAGCAGGAAGGGCTGTGAGGCTTCTGGAGGAATGGCAAAGCCAGCACTTGCCCTCTTGGCACCCCTAGCACCCCTGGGTGAGGCCTGGGACGGTCAGCTCTCCCGGGCATTCTTTGTCTGGCTTCAGCTGTGGCCAGAGACCTGGTGAACATGTTGTGGGACTCCTGCAAGAGCCACGTTGCATGTGTCAGTGCTGCTGAGTGTTTCCCGTGYACCTCCTCTGGCCCAGCGCAGCAAGAGGCCCAGGCACAGCCTCACGGTGCCCCAGGAGTGGCTCCAGGTCATGCCTGACTTTGCCACTTGCCTTGCAGCAACAAAACTTCAAGCAGAAGGTGGTGGCGCTGCTGMGGAGGTTCAAAGTGTCCGAGGAGGTGAGTGGGCTGAGCCTCCCTGTTGAGCGGCCTGCTGGGGAGGAGGTATCTGATCTCTAGGCAGCTACAGCTCTGTGCTTTCCCTCTATAGGGCATTGCCCTCTGCCCGCCAGGCTGGGCGACAGTGGTGCTGTCTCCTGACATCTCCCGAGGTATCAGCAGAGAGCCAGGGACGGCCAGCTCCATGTCTGTAGAACTCCAAGTCATGGTCACCAGGGAAGATGGACACTGGGTTTTTGTGTTCATTAGCTTTCATAGATAGACTTTATTTGGGGAACTGTTTAGGCCCATAGAAAAACCAGGCAGGTGTGCACAGAGCTTCCGGTGCCCCTGCCGCCATAGGCGGTCTCCCTTGCTGCCAGCACGGCATGGGTTCTTAGGTTTTAAATTCTTCTAGCGTTTCTCTAGTTTCCAAATTTTCTGTAATGAGCTTGTGTAACTTCCATAACCGGAAGAAAAACTCCTTAGTGCTTTCATTTTTTGTTTGTTTTGGTTTGGATTTTGTTGTTGTTTTGTTTTGTTTTGTGGTACCAGGGATTGAACTCAGGGGCAGTTAACTACTGAGCCAGCCCTATTTTGTATTTTTTTATTGAGAGACAGGCTCTCACTGAGTTGCTTAGCACCTCGCTGTTGCTGAGGATGGCTTTTAACTCGCAATCCTCCTGCCTCAGCCTCCTAAGCTGCTGGAACTACAATCGTGGCCCCTGCACCCAGCTTCCTGGTGCTTTAACACATGATGTGATGCTGGGCTGCAGTGGAGAGGAGGTCCCTGGGTGCGCCACTCCACTGGCCACACGGCCCACATAGTGGCTCTGTGTCCCTGAACATGAAGGCCATATCACCAGAGCACCCATACTTGGTGGCTGCTCTGCTCAGGCGTAAGTGCTGAGATTGGCATGGCTTGGCCACGTGGGGCCAGCAGTGTTTTCAGGACCCACCTAGCAGCCTGCCTCTAGGAAAGGACAGCTTCCTCCTCGGGCACAGCTGGCAGGCCCTGAGTCTTTGCTCACTTCTGGTAGTGAAACAGTCCCTAATCTAGCTGCAGAGGGGACACTTAGCAGGGCAAACCCCTGGCCTGAGGCCTCCCTGACCCCTTCTGTATGCCTAGCAATGAAGGAGAGTCCTCAGCTGGATCTCGACCATGGGGTTCTGTACTTGGCGCAGCAGGGGACTGAGTCCCAGAATGTACCTGACCCACACAAATTGGGTTCTGACTTCTGGAACTCAGCTCAGATTGTGAAGATTCGGCCAACATCCCAGGCACTGTACTTGGGTAAAGGACTCTATCTTTTCCTGGGGATGATCTCCTAGGATGGTGTGACATTCGCATACGTTGATCAAGTCATGTGGTCTCTTTATCTGCCACTGTACTCCCTCTGGTGTGAGGACCAGACCACCTTGCACAGCTCTGTCCCTGTGTCTGAGTGTGTGCCTCCCAGCACTGCCCAGCTTGTGGCCTCACAGCAGCCCTGGGAGATGCAGGAGAGGCTTGGCAAGGGGCAGCCTCCTGCTGGGCCGGGAGCCGACTTAGACCACTCCTGCTGCTGTCACTGTAGCTCAGTCTGGGTAACTAAGATACACCCAAATGCTTCACTCCCATCCTGAGGCTGGAAGTCCAGGGTCACGGCTCTGGCAGATGGGGTGTCTGGAAGGGCCTGGTCCTCTCAGACAGTGTTGTCCACGTGTCCTCACACAGCAGGGTAAGTGGGAGGAGCACACTTCCTCCAGCCTCCTGTATGAGGTCACTAATCACTTCCCAAAGGCCCCACTCCTTAGCATGTCACCTCGGGGTCAGGTTTGAACATCTGAGTTTGAGGGCTCACGTTTAGACCCTAGCCCACAAAGTTCTTGTGCTTCTCACATACAAAATACATTCTTTCCATCCCAGTAGCCTCAAAGTCTTAACTCATTCTAGCCTCAACTCAAGAATTTAAAGACCCAAATTTGAATATCATCTGCWTCAGAGCAGGTCAGACTCCTCTCTAGCTGTTTGTCAGCTCATGAAACCAGTGGTGTGCTTCCAAAGTATAACGGTGGGACCAGCATAGGGTGGATATTCCCTGTGGGAGGGAGGGAGGGAGCTGTCTCAAGGAAGTCAGAACCCAGCAAGGAAAATTCAGAATCTCCAGGCTCGAGATGGTCATCTTTGATGTTCCACCCACCAGGCACCCCAAGCTGGGAGTTGGGCCTCAGCCCCAGGTGGCCCATTCCTGGTGCTACAGGGTGCAGATGCAGAGGTATGTCCCTGCAGTCCTCCCAGCTCTGTGGCAGCTGGGGACTAAGTTCTGCCATCCTGGGTGCCCTACTCCCATGGCACCACTGGACTTTACCCCAGTGGGGGCTYTCTGCTGGAGCCCTATCTCCACAGAAGTCTTCTGCCTTAGTCCAGGGCATCCTGTGGGTCTGGGTGAAGGTGCCCATGCCCCCGGCTCTTCACGCCTCTAGAGTTGGCACCATGTGGGTACTGAACAGTAGACCACTTATGCCCTCTGGAGGGGTGGCTGCTGCTATCCCTATCACACCAGAGCAGTGCCCCCAGATGCAGGGAGCAGAGCAGAGATTGTGCTTCCTAGCATTCTGGGCCTGTGGTAGGCAGGACAGCACCAAAGACTTCTCAAGTGCCTTTAGGCCAGTCTCCAGCTGTCCCGTCCATACTGACCTCCTCATATTCACTGGCCACCCCCTGCTGTTCTCTTGCAAACACTTTTTCACTCTGTGCAGCCTTTCCCAGGGAGAATCTTCCAGACCTTAAGTCCTTCCCTTTCTTTTTTCTTTTTCTTTTTAAATGTTTATATTTTAGTTTTAGGTGGACACAATATCTTTATTTTGTTTTTATGTGGTGCTGAGAATCGAACCCAATGCCTCACRCATGCTAGGCGAGCGCGCTACCACTTAGCCATACCCCAGCCCTTTCCCTTTCTTTTTTTTAAATTTTATATATATTTTAGTTGTTGATGGACCTTTATTTTGTTTATTTATTTATATATGGTGCTGAGAATCAAGGCCAGTGCCTCACATGTGCCAGGCCAGCGCTCCATCACTGAGCCACAACCCAGCCGAGGTCTTTTTGATAAGTTTCATGTTTAATTCCTTTTTCTYGCTGCACATTACTGTGCGTAGTCAAGAGAAGCCATGCAGCACCCTTGGTGCTGAGCTTGGATTTCTTCTGCCAGCTGTCCCGTTGACACTTGGAAGTTCTACCTTCCACCAGACACTAGGACACAGACAGAATCCAGCCAAGCTCTTTGTCGCTTTCCTCCAGTTTCCAATAGCATGCTCCTTCTTGTGTGAGGTGTCTCGTGGCCTTTGGTGGCACGGTCCTGCCGAGGTCTGGCTCCGAGATGGCTCTCTCCACAGCTCTCCTCCTCTGAGCATCGCCAGAACCTCCCTCACAGCTCACCTTGGTGGGCACCACAGACCCTTCCAACCTCTACCCTCCCCATTCCATAGCCTCTTATACGTGTCAGGAGTCTGTCACAGCATAAGCTTCTGCGCCTCCCTGTCTGGGACTGCTAGAGCTGCCACAGCTGGACACCTTGACTGGCGATTCAGAAACAACCACAGTGTGTGGCTTACAGTTCTGGAGGCTGGGAGTCCAAGACCAAGCCTCCCATAGATGCCCAGTCTGGAGGGGGCCTGTTCCTCATGGACAGCACTATGTGTCCAGGGTAGGCAGATGGGGAGAGTGTGCTTCCCCACAGTCCCCCTTTTCTCAGTACTGGGCATTGAACCCAGGAGTGCTTTACCCTGAGCTACATCCCCAGGACTTTTTATTGTATTTTGAGAAGGGGTCTTGCCAAGTTGCCCAAGCCTGGCCTTGAACTTGCCATCTACCTGCCTCAGCCTCCTGAGCAGTTTCAGCTCCGTTTGCATGGACACAAATCCCATTTATAAGGCCACCGCTTATGCCCTGATCACCTCCCAAAAGCCCCACCTCCTAATACCATCCTCGGGGGGCCTAGGTTGTGGCAGGAATCTGAGGGAACACACATTTGAGCTGCTGCCTCTGACATAGGCTGAGGCCTCTCAGGTCTTTGATCAGCACATACAGCAGAGCCACAGAACTCCAGGCGCAGTGTGTCCCTGGGCCTTTAGCCTGTGAGTGGCACACCTGTATAGTCAGTAGGTTTTCAACAAAGGTGCCAAGTTCATCAGAGAAAAAATGATCTTTTCAACAGAAAATGAACCTCAACACATAACCTCATTGTTTGCAAAAGTCACCCTCTGAAAAATCATGTACTAAATTTAAAACCTAAAAAATAATTACTTAAATTTTAAACTCTAAACATCAGAAATTTAAATTCTATCAAAATTCTAGAATATAAAGAAACATCTTTGTGAATGTGGATTAGGCGAAGATCTGTTAGGACCCAGAACACGTGTGAGTCTTCAAAGTGGGAAAAACAAAGCACTGGGCTCTGTCAAAAGTGGAGACTGAAGCGTCCACACTCAGAAGGGTGGACATTGAGCCCACGCACGGGAGGGACCTGGAGCTGCAGATCTGCAGCAGCAGGGGCAGGAGGAATGACTAGGGGGACAGCGCTGGGGTGGCACCTCTGGCTGGCAAACCATAGCTACACATCTGAAGCATAGGGTGGCTCCTGGGGCAGGGCGGGTCACCTGTGCTCTTCCACACCCTGGGGGTGTCACGCTGCGCTCTTCAACACCCTGAGTGACTTCATAGTCTGGCCAGTTTTTGTTTTTTTTTTTTTTTTTAGTTGTCAAGGGAACTTTATTTTATTTATTTATTTATATATGGTGCTGAGAATCTAATCCAGGGCCTCACACATGCTAGGCAAGTGCTCTACCACTGAGCCACCATCCCAGCCCCAGTTTGTTTTTTTTTTTTCTTTTTGAGGTACTGGGAATCAAACCCAGGCCTTGTGGTGCTAGGTGAGCACTCTACCCCAGCCCCATGTTGTATATTTTTGCTATAATAAAAAAGTAGAGCTGGGCGCAGTGGCTCACGCCTGTAATCCCAGCAGCTTAGGAGGCTAAGGCAGTAGGATCGTGAGTTCAAAGCCAGCCTCAGCAGCAGTGAGGCCCTAAGCAACTGAAACCCTGTCTCTAAATAAAATACAAAACAGGACTGGAGATGTGGCTCGGTGGTCAAGCGCCCCTGAGTTCAGAACCCCCTTCCCCCCAAAAATTAGAAATTTGCCTGTGAAAAATACTAAGAGAAAAAGCAAGCCACAATATAACAGAAAATATTTGTAAATCACGCGTCTGATAAAAATTTCTATCTAGTGTATAAGAACTTTCAAGACCCGGTAAGAAAGACGGCCCAAGGTGCAAGTGGGCAGGACTCACCCAGTGGGTGTGGCGAGCATGGGGAGGGCCTGAAGAGGAGGTAGTGGCAGCAAGGCGTGGACCCTGCTGACTCTTGCTGAGGTGGCAGTGCCTGCAGGTTGATCTGCAAGCCCACGTTGTCCCTCTGCAAGCCCGCTGCCTTTGCACAGAGACCCACCAGCCGGCTCTGACGTCAATGCGTCAGAGCAGGGGCCTCCCAGGCAAGACAGTATCTAGAAAGAAGCTGGAAGATTCACACTTCCTGGTTTCAAAACTTACCACCCAGCTGAAGTGGTCCAGACCATGGTGCTGACACCAGCACAGACCTAGGTCAGCGGAATGGAGTCCAGCACCCAGGACAGGTCTCACATTGCCACCAGTGTTCAGCAAGGACATTAAGACCACCCTGTAGGGGAGGGTGCAGGCTTCCCAACACACATTGCTAAGAGAACTGGTCCTCATACCACATGCAACAGAACCCACAGCAGAGAACACCTTCAGGACACACAGCAGGCAGTGGCCTCTTAGATTTGACACCCAAAGCACAGTGACAAAAGAAAAATAAACTGGAATATCACAGTAGTTAATGCTTTTGCACTCTAAATAATACCATCAAGGGTATGAAGCAGCAGCCCAGAGAATAGAGCTGTTTAGCGAATTATAAAGGGCTTGTGCTCAGAATATATAAAGATAACTTGTAACTCAGAAATAGCCCAGTTAAAAACAGGCGTCTGTCTCTTGAGGAAGACACCCGATGGGAGCTGTGGTGCTCCCGACTACTGCTCCCGGCCCACAAGTTGCCAAGGAACAGAGCAGCCAGGAAGCTGTGCTGCAGCACAGCTTCTACAGTACTGGAAAGGTGGCAGTGAAAACAGAGGTGGCAGCTGACCAGCTAGGGTGCCCCTTCCCCGAAGAACCCATGTCCTGCTGTGGTCAGAGATGCAGAGGTGTGGGTGGAGGCCTGCGGGGGCCTGGCAGCCTCAGAACCAGGGAAATGCCTATGGTGAGGCCCATATCCAGTCCTCCGGAGGTGCCAGCAGACCCTCAGGCTGGCTGGGAGTGGAGGTTGAGGTTACCACTTCAGGAACTCTCAGCTACCCTAAGATGGTGTTTGTCGTTTGTTTAAAAACATGAATTGTCTGATTAAAAGATGGGCAAAGGATCTGAGTAGATGTTTCGCCAGARAAGAGAGAGATGTGGTTAATAAGGACTGTCATCAGTGGGCATCGGGTCAGCTGGTTGTCAGGTAGGTCACCATTTGCCCCCCAACAGCAGGCACATGTGCACGGGTGGGTGGAAAGCAGACACTGGACACTCCAACTCATGCTCCTGGTCAGCCCTAAGGAGGTAGGGGTGCGTCCCCACTGTGACCCCTAGGCTTGTGCTGCCAGTTTTATCTGCAGGAGCCACGTGGGAGACAGTCCAGTTGCCGATCAGCGCTGGCCCCAAACACCTGCTTCCACTCAGAAGGGACCAGCACTGACACGGGACTCGCGTGGGCCTGCCACCCCGTGCCGAGTCAGATGCCAGACGCAAGGCTGCATCCTCCTGACTCCACTCTGGCAGTGTCTGGAGGGGCTGGCTCACAGGGCAGGCCTGGGGGTGGCTGCCAGGGATGCAGCTCTACAAGGGCACAGGCTTCCTGGGCAGACAGGAGGTGCTCTGCTTCCTGTGCGGGAAGCACCCCCTAGTCATTGACTGAGGGCCAGGTCAGGCCGAGGAGCCTTCGTATCACACAGTGTGAGGACCTGAGGTCTTTGGAGAGAGTCCCAGTTCCCAGAAACTAGAAAGTAAATAAGATGGAAGTGCTGGTCGCTGAGTGTGCCCAGCAGCTCAGCACCCTGCCTGTCCTCCTTCTGCAGACCACTCTTCATAGCCCGTAGGCTGCTGTCAAGGGCAGGTATGGGCCTTTGCGGGGCCCTTATGCACCTTTGGTGTTGTTACAGGTCCTGGACTCAGAGCAGGACCCTGCGGAACATGTCCCTGAGGTGGAGGAGGACCTGGACCTTCTGTATGACACACTGGACATGGAGAACCCCAGTGACAGTGGCCCTGACATGGAGGAGGATGATAGCGTCCTCAGTACTCCTAAGCCCAAGCTCAGGTGAGTCAGCAGAGCCAGATGGTCATTTTGATGAACCCTGCAAAGAGACTTCTGAGCGGACCTCAGGATGCCCCCACACCTGCTGCTTGATCAGTGGCTGACCTGGGTTGGCCCTGGGCACTGTGGGCAGGGCCACCTGCCTCTGAAGGCTTGGAAGGTTCCCACAGGCCAGACTGCCAGGGGCAGCCTGGATGGGGCTGTGGGCCAGTCAGTCCCAGGTGGTTGCAGGTAGACTGAGCCAGGTATCAGGAAGGGGTATATTTGAGTGAGTCCGGTGGGAGGTGCCCGAAGGCTGGCAGGAAGCTGGGGTAAAGTCTCCACAAGGCAGTGTGGTTCTCAGGTGACAGAATCAGATGAGCTCTCAGGTCGTTGGGATGGGAGTGGACTGAAATGATCTGTAGAAGGCAGGAGCTCGGGGCATGGGGCAGGTGGGATGTGGGGCAGGCTGTGAGGATTGAGGGGTCCTCCTGGGTGCTGGAGGCCTGCCAGCACCTCTCCTGGGGTGGCAGGGGCTGGCTGAGGCTGGCCTGGGGCAGGAGGAGCAGCACGGAAGGTCTCCTCGCAGGTTTGCCATGGACGCTTAGGAGACCCTGTTCTGTGGAGTGGGAAGCACAGCCCACAGGACAGTGTGTAGGCCTCAGTGTGGCTGGGTGTGGCAGGCCTGGGGTGTGGGTGGCAGCTGAGGTTTGAGGCTTTTTAAACCTACATGGTACAGAGAGGCACATACAGGAAAGTGCTGTCCTGTGTCATTAGGCAGGTCCACAGCTGACCCTGGCTCCCTGGCAGCTCCCGTCTTACCCTGACACTGACTTTAAGCCACCTTTACTCCTTGTTCTGGAGGGCAGTGTCCTGGGCTTGGCTTCATTTGTGCTGGTGTCTTGCTGCACTAGGGCTGATATACTGGCCGCTGGCTCCCACCTGGCATGGGGGGGGCGCCCTCCAGGGTAGTGTGGCCATGCAGAGTTCCATTCCAGAGCCTACAGGATGGAGATGCAGCTCTGTGCTGCCCAGTAGCCATAGACCATGCTACCACCTGGGCCCCTGCATCTTGGGTCAAGTGCCTCCTGCCTCATCTCTCCGCTGGGCTTGAGTGAGCCCTCTGCGTTCTGCACTGCTGGGACAACACCAGCTCCTCCCACACCATCTGGGTCCTCCCATTGTGAGTTCAGTGATGTTGGCCTTGTTGGCAGAGTCCCCGGCCAGTTAGTGCCCACAGATCTGGCTGGGGCAWGGACATTTCAGGACTGTGATCTTGGGTGGTCACACACAGCTGAGTCCCTGTTTGTCCAGGTTTTGGGACTTAGCGGGCACATCAGTGCTCTCAGGAGTCCTGGCACTGTCCTGGCTGGTAATGTCTTCTACATCTTTTGGGTCTATACCCTCTTCCCCCTCACTCATACCTTATCTGCTGGAGGTGGGCATGTTCTGCCCAGTTAATCTGGAATGGCCTGGTTGGCCTAGATTGGCCTGTTGCTCTGGAACAGGCCTAGAGTGGCCTGGTTGGCCTAGAGTGGCCTGTGCTTGCTGCGGGTGCCTTCACTGTGCTGTGGAGAATGCTCTGCTTCCTGCAGGTCTCTTCAGGCAGCCTCCAGCAGGTTATTGGAGTGGAGCTGCCACTCAGCCTCTCAGTTGTTGACAGCCCTGCCCAGGTTGAAAGCCAGGAGCAGACAGGGTTTCAGGGATGCCTGTTTTTTGAGAGGGGCCCCTGGGCTCCTCTGTCTGCCCCTTCATGTGTGATAGGAGAGCCTCACTTGCAGTATGGGGAGGGTCTTGGAAAATGACATTCATCCCTTTCCCGAGCCAGGCCATACTTCGAAGGCCTGTCACACTCCAGTTCACAGACGGAGATTGGGAGCATCCACAGTGCCCGCAGCCAGAAGGAGCCTCCAAGCCCGGTGAGTGGCAGCAGAGCCCTTGGGTTCCTGTCTTCATGCTGGACAAGAACTGGGCAAGCATGTCTCTGGTTGCCATGTGTTCCCAGTGGCAGGAGACTGTTCTGGGATGACCCTGAGCCCACAGTCCAGGAAAGTCCCATTTGGTGTCCCCTGGGCCTCTTCCCATTTGCAGCCAGAGAGCAACACAGCCTGATTCCTGTCTCCATCCCCAGGCTGATGTGCCAGAGAAGACACGGTCCCTAGGAGGCAAGCAGCCAAGTGACAGTGTCTCTGACACGGTGGCCCTTGTAAGTAGGTGTGGACATGCTCGTCTAGCCGTGCCCTAGGCCCCAACCTACCRCAGCCGCCATGTGGAGCGCCTGTGCTCACTGCCTGGACCTGGGCTGGCCCTGGGCCAGGCTGCCAGGTGCTCAGGATGCCCAGTTGAGGGCTGCTGCTTGCTTCCACTGACATGATGGCCCATGAGCAGTGGGTTTCCCTGGTGCCCTTTGGAAGGGTCTCCAGATGGTGCTGGGCTGTGTGGGAGCTGGGTCTCTGGCAGGTTTAGTGCTGGTCTCCCTGCAGTGTTGGACCCAGAGTTCTGTGATGGACAGGGCTCCAAGGTGGCCTAATCCTTCCCCCAAGCCAGGACCACACAAGCCGAGAGGGACTCCAGGTGGGCTTTGTGGTTCTGGGCTAGGGAAGAGCACGTAGCGCTTCCTTCTCTGCCCAGCAAAGTGCGCCAGCCTCTCGGGAGCCATCGGAGCAACCTGAGGACAGCCCTGAGGCCGAGACCTCCACCCTGGACGTGTTCACTGAGAAGCTGCCACCCAGCGGGAGGATCACCAAGACAGAGTCACTAGTCATCCCCTCTACCAGGTCCCTGTGCGCCCCAGCCTGCCAGTAGGAGTGGCTCCCCATGGGATGGGGTTGCTGACTTGATGGGAATCACGGGGAGAGGCCGTGACCTTGGGTACCTTCTGGAGCCRGAGTTGGGCCCCACCTTGTGCACAGCTAGCTGCCTCCATTGTCTGGCTGTCACCTGCACTCCCTGGAGGGCCACATGTCCAAAGGTGCTGCCCCTCTACCTGCCATGCCCCAGGACAAGCTGCTGGATGAAGCCTTGGAGGAACAGCTGGGGGCCAGGAGGCCGTTGAAATGGGTGGGACTGGGGACAGGCAGCAGGCAGGATTAACAGCTCAGGGAGGGTAGGGCCTGAGCCTGTGGCTGACAAGGGCCAGGATGGGCCCACCTCCAGCCTGCACCCCACACCCCCAGGCTGTGGCACACATAGAGGCGTGGAGCACTTGGGGATGAGAGCCTGGTGTTGGCACAGGTAGCTTGGTTTGTGTCAAGGTGAGCATAGGTCACACCCATGGCCCTCTCCCCACAGCCATCTCAGTCTCACCTGGGCAGGCTCCATGCTTCTTGCTTGGGGACATGCCAGACCCACTTTCCGTTGTCCCCAACTGTGGGCACCCCTTGCCTTGCATGCCTGACCCCAGAGCCCATTCACCAGAGCATGTAGTGTTCCTTGCCTCTGCTAGATCTCCTTTGGGATCTTGTCTTTCCTCTGGCCAGCACCACTGTGCCCAGAGTTTGGTGGCTTCAGGGCAGGAGACCTGTGAGCCCATGCCTGTGTCAGCACCCTACTCAGCCTGGGCTGTGGGGAGGAGGTCCCCTGATGTACTCTCCAACCTCCCCGCCCTTGCCTCCAGGCAACCCTTTAGACAAACTGCCTCCCCGCTCCCTAGCCACCTCACTGCCTCAAGCAGGTCCATCTGTAGAACCCGGCACTCAGCATCAGTCCAACCCTGGCTTTCTCTAAGCTAGTGCAGGCCAGGGCTGGAGGTGTGTCTGTGCCAGGCTCCGCCGCGCCTTTTCGAAGCAATCAGGACATTCCTGGAAGCAGCGAGTCTGGGTACTGGCATTTACCCAGCAGGAAGCAAACAGGAGCCTGTGTTGGGCTCTAGGTAGTCGCCTTGAYGGTCAGCACTTAGCACTGGCCTGCCCCCAGCTGTGACCCTACTTTTTACCCTGGAGGGGTGGGCAGCCCTGAGGTCCCCTATCAGGTACACTGATGAGGGAAGCAGGGCTGAGGGCCGGGTCCCATACGGGCACCTGGGTCTCAGTGCTCCACCCTCATAGCTGGGAGCTCTGTGTAGCCCAGGGCCCTGCCGCTCGTTCAGTGACACTGTGGCCATCCTTCCCTGCTCTCTGCTAGGCAGCTCTTCCCTGGAGCAGCGCAGTGTGCGGCTTGTGTGAGCATGTGCCTGGCCTGCTCTGGCCCTGTCCCCGTCCGCCTGCCCCAGCTGCCCCATTCCACGAGCCTGCTCTGATCCCAGCAGGTCTGAGGCGAAGCCAGCTGGTCGCCGGGGCCGGAGCACATCCCTGAAGGAGAGACAGCCATCACGGCCACAGAACGAGCGGGCCAATAGCC